ACAAGATGTCCCTGTTTGCTTCCATATCTCAGCAGTGTCTATATAAGTCGTCCTGTGTGTTTAGACCATTTGACTTTTGAAGTATACGCACATATACTTACTGAGAACCATGCATGGATTTCTGAGCTTTGTGTGGCCTACTTAAATTGTAGGAAAAGAAAAGGAAACTCTCTTGTTGGAAGTAAGAATGGGTAAATGTTAATACTGGATTCAAGCAACTTTATTTTTATTTAGGAGATGTATAATGAATTAATTATAGATATATATGTGCAAATTGTGTGATGTTATAAATTAGCTATGATAATAATCTGACATTGCTGTAAATTTATTTTAAGCATACTATTGTTTTTGCTTCCAAAAACCGGAACTGTAGTATAGCTAGGAAATATGTAAAACAATGTACTGTAGTGCAGTTGGCACAACTTGGCATGAATAGTCAGTAGACTTTTGTTGGAGTTCATTATGACATTGTACTTCTAATGACTTGTGACTGTGTTGGCTCATGGCTAGCAGACTGTTTTTGCTTAAGGGCATCATTATGCTCACTGTGCCATAGTGATACACACAACAGTCTTGCAAAAATTTCTCCTCTTGTATTTCTGTAAAGGGTCACTAGTTATTTTATTCAACAACACATCACAGTGTGTTTAAATTCTATACAAATATGTCACCACCATATTAAGAGAGTGAATTGCCTGGAAGAAGTTGTCCTCTTTCTGTCCTCTAAAGAGCAAAAATTAGTATTCAAGAAAAGCTTTGTGTGAATTTTGAAAACATTTCTGCTTCATATTTGCAACTGCTTTTATAAGACTTCTGAAATTATATAGCGTGTCCAAAGTATGAGAGAAAATCCCAGCACATTAGGTTTTCGTCAGATACTAAAGGCCAGATTTGAACAAGTATTTAGGGACCTAAAGATGCAAATAGGTACCTAGTGTGATTTTTTTCAAAAGCACGTAGGAGCCTAACTTTCATTGTGTTGAACTTTTAAAAAGTATTAGGAAGCAGGAGGGCTCAGTGTTCAAAAATGTATCTGAAGCACAAATTTTAGCTGGAGTCTTGAACTGCATCTTTACATGAAAATAGTGATAATTTAAAATAAATGTGTTTTAAAAAAAATTTGCAACCTCACTTACATGCCTAGCTGAACCTTTGAGGTACTAATCTGCACAAGCAAAATCCGATTTCAAATATGTTTTTGTCCATATGGTTGCACTCATATTACATTTTTTTTGTTAACGTAGTTTGCTTGTTTGTACCTTGAGGTAGACTCCAATTTCTACGAATTCCTAAAAAGGGGGGAGGGGAAGCAGCTCTATAACCAAAGAAAATTTGTAGCAATTGAAAACTTACTCCCCTTAAAGTTGGCCTGCCCTTCAGTGACTATTCATGGGTCAAGTCCATTCGGTGAGGACTTGCAGCAAATCAGAGATCTTTCCCAAACATCACAGCAGATGGAGCTGACTTTTCTACTGCAGTGTGCTTACTCTGCTGCAAGACAGCCAAGTAACTTGACCTTTCTTGCTTTATTCACCAATACATTTTTCTGTCTTTTGATTTGTTTAAATAATAAATGAGTTTCTGGGTTTTGTAACTTTTGTGAAACTTTGAATATTTTTAATTTATAATCCCACTAAAATTCAGCCACAGCATAGTTTATTCCATCAGATCCTTCTAGTGATGGCAAAATATGTTGCAAGTCCAGATATTATGAAAAATGTGTAGTAGTGCTGCAACTTTGACTCAGGATGTTTGTAGTTGTTTGGTGTATATAAGGTCCTCAAAAAGGAGGAAAGGAAAGCCTAGACTCCAAAGGCAGTTCTCAGAAAGTGGTGTAATTCTCTTCATTCCCCTCTTACCTCCTCTTCTGCAAATAACAAAACATCGGGAAGATGCAAGAGTGTAGATTACCAATCATGCCATTTGTATTCCCACTAATGCAGCTAATCGTTGAGTGCTCTGGTGCCCTTGGTACAATCAATCTTCATCTCAGAAGTCTGAGGTAGAAGGCATTTTTAATGTTTCTTAGAAGTCTTAACATGTAAGTACTCAACAGTTGAGAAACTGGTGGACATAGTGTATTTTAATATTCCAGCATCTTGTGCCTTTCTTCATAATTCAGCCCATCACTATGGCTGACCCAGAGATTTGCCATCAAGACTTTCCTTTCCAGGGAAGGCATTAGGACTGATCAGTTCCTTATGTGTAAAGGCCCAATCCATCTCCCACTGAAGTAACAGAAGCCTCTGTATTGACTTCAAAAGGAAGTTGGCCTAGGCCCTTAATCTTCTGCAAAGCAAAGAAGTAATTTTCTAAAGAGTGGTCTTATGGATGGTGCTGATGGAAGGAAAGGAAATGGTGCACTTCAAAGGGTATGTCTACACTTCAAGCGGGGGTGGGTGGGTGAGATTCCTAGCTTGAGAAGACATATTCAAGAGCTAGCTCTCATCAAGCTAGCATGCTAAAAATAGAATGTAGCTGCGGGAGCACAAGCAGCCGGAAGAGCTAGCTGCGCTGCGTACGTATCTAGCATCTCTGATAGACACTCATTGCTATTTGCACTGCTTCCTTGGAGGTTTTTAAGGCCCGGCTTGACAAAGCCCTGGCTGGGATGATTTAGTTGGGAATTGGTCCTGCTTTGAGCAGGGGGTTGGACTAGATGACCTCCTGAGGTCTCTTCCAACCCTGATATTCTATGATTCTCTGATTCTATTTTTAGCATGCTAGTTTGACAAGAGCTAGCTCTTGAGTATATCTTCTCAAGCTGGGAATCACACCCCCAGCTTAAAGTGTAGACATACCCTACAAGGAGCCTGGTGCATCACTGGATTTTCACTTTACATTAATATGTTGAGAGCTCAGACTTTGAATATACTAAGATGAGAAAAACTAGCTTTTTATGAAGTTTTCATATTCTAAGATTACCATAACTTGGAACCTATAAAAATGGCAGAATCTAATAAAACAGCTCTTGGGTTTAAGTGCTATAATTGCTCTACATTTCAGTGCAGAGATCTTTTTGTGTGGAAATACTCTCTTAATAGAGGAGGATTTTCATGTTAGTGTAACTGCAATAAGGGGATCTTTCTCCCAGTGCCTCAGTTCCTGAACCTGCAACCTTTCCCCCCCCCCCGGAATTAAAAGATAACTATAGTAGGTGGCTAGTCATTTTTGATGACCATATCTTTCCTACTACTTCACTTTCTTTTCTCTACAGTTTAGCTGACAACGCCAGCAAACAGTATACTAACCACTATATATAGGGCCCTACCAATTTCACGGTCATAGGATTTTAAAAATAATAAATTTCATGATTTCAGCTATTTAAATCTGAAATTTCATGGTGGTGTAATTGTAAGGGTCCTGACCCAAAAAGGAGTTGTGGGGGGGTTCGCAAGGTTATTGTAGGGGGAGTTTGTTACTGCTACCCTTACTTCTGCGCTGCTGCTGGCGGTGGCACTGGCTTCAGAACTGCAGCTGGAGAGCGGTGGCTGCTGGCCGCGGGAGCCCAGTTCTGAAGGCAGAGCCGCTGCCAGCAGCAGTGCAGAAGTAAGGATGGCATGGTATGGTATGGTATTGCCACCCTTACTTCTGTGCTGCTGCCTGCAGAACTGGACCCTTAGTCAGCAGCCGCCACTCTCTGGCTGCCCAACTCTGAAGGCAGCAGCACAGAACTAAGGGTGGCATGGTATGGTATTAGCACCCTTCTGCACTGCTGCTGGTGGGTGCTGCCTTCAGAGCTGGATGCCCGGCCAATGGACACCACTCTCCAGCTCTGAAGGAAGTGAAGTAAGGGGGGCAATTCTGCTACACCCCCTAAAATAATCTTGCAACCCCTCTGCAACTCCCTTTTGGGTCAGGACCCCCAATTTGAGAAATGCTGGTCTCCCCTCGTGAAATCCGTATAGTATAGGGTAAAAGCACACAAAAGACCAGATTTCATGAGGGAAGACCAGATTTCAAGGTCCATGAAGTATTTTTCTTTTCATGGCCGTGAATTTGGTAGGGCCCTAACTATATATCGTAAAATTTTGTGAGAAACCTATAAACAGACAAAACAGAATGCCAAGAATGGTCTGCATAAATCATGGTTTAACAGGATTTGCTTAAGCCTGTCATCTGCTAGTTGGTGATACTCTCATACAGAGCTCTACATTAGTTCTTGTAAGTCCTAGTATGCAGTTAAAGATTTTTAAAATCCTTTTTTTGGTTTGTTTTTATGTCTGATCAGACTTGATCTAGAAATTAATGGCCTTAAAGGCTCATTGTAGACTAACTTGTCCCTCTTTTATTTTATAGTTCATTGACCTTATCAGTTGTGTAAATTATGTATGTTTTTAATTCACATTGCTTAATCAGATGTACATTTTAATCTTTTAAAAAATAATTTTCTATAAAGAGAACAAATTAAAGTTTTAATATTATAACATATGGCACTTAATGTAGTCAGATATTTTTTGAATTTGTAGCCTTATTTTGAAATATAAATCTTATACTAATAATTATCGTTCCAGATTGCTCAGTCCAGTTGTGAATAAAGATTTTTTTACAGGAAAAAACATAGAAAATGTCAATGGAGTAGAAGAACAGTATTGTAGAACAGTAATTCCTTCTTCTTGAGTTCCATTGCTATTACACTGAGAAGACTAGAATTATATGGTATTAGGGATTTGTAAACACTTGACATTTTTACTGATGTATCGATATGTAATTATCAGAGAAAATTTGTGCCTATGTACAAAGTTCATTCACTCACTCTTCCCATCTTTAAATGCTCACACTATGGTGAGCATGCTGTTGATATTGAGAGATGATACCATGATATTGCGAGAATTTGCTTGCCAAAATTGCTTGCTTTAGGCAAGCAGAACTTTGTAAGGCTGATGTGTAAAAGTCATTCATTCTAAAGAACAGTAAATAGTACCATAACCAAAATAGAATGAAGATTTCGACACAGTGTCATTTCTTTTGAAATTAAAATAGATTTTTTTCTTCCGTAGTGCTGCTGGAGGTGAAATCTTTGACCAGTGTGTGGCTGAAAGGGAAGAAGCCTTCAAAGAAAAAGATGTTAAGCGGCTTATGAGGCAGATTTTAGAAGGAGTTTCGTTTTTACACAGAAGTAATGTGGTACATCTTGACTTAAAGGTAAGTGTTTACTTTTCCCATAGAGTATGTCCACACTGCAATAAAACACCTCTGGCTGGCCCGGGTCAGCTGACTTGGGCTTGCATGAGGGTCCCAGAGCCCAAGGTCCAGCCTGAGCCCAAATGTCTACACTGCAGTTTTATAGCCATGCAGTCTGAGCCCTATGAGCCCAAGTCAGGTGACACAGGCCTTTGATTGCAATGTAGACATATCCATAGTTACTTGTTAATATATGCTGACTCAGTGCTATAATGCCTTACTAATGCTAATTTATAAATAAAAACAAAGTTCATATATGTCTATGTACTTCCCAAAGCACAAAATTCACCTTTTGGGGATACAGTAGAGATTAGCAATTTTTGCCTTACATGATAACATTCTGAAAGTTACAAATTGTCTATGAAATATGGACCTTAAATTGCTAATATGTTACACAACCAAAGGGATGAAGTTTCTGTCTTACTGTTGTTAAAAACAAAACTAAGCTTCATGCAGTGTTCCCTCATTAAAGTGGAATTTAAGTATATTTTTGTGCTCTAGTAACATTTTTAAAAAGTAAATTGGCATTTATATAGACCTGGGTGACAGTTTGTGCTTTGTGAAATTTGGAAAAAATTGGTTAAGAAATTGTTAAAAATTAATTGAACACAGCATGCTGTAACTGCACTGAAAATAAACTTACCATTCCAGTATTAAGTGCTCACAAAAGGCTGCTAAGCAGCTGTACTTGGATGCATATGGACTGACGCATTGCATTATGATACTGCATTTGACAACTTAGTATTTTAAAAAAACTTCAAAAGCCACTTAAGTCAGCATTTGCCAACTGTTGCCATTCATTAAGCAGAGATTGAAGTATAAACTGTAGTAACTGCTGGCTAAGGCTGACTTCAGGTTGAATAGTTCAACCATGTGATAAAACCTTGACTGAGATTAGGTTCCTTTGGTCAGGAAACTCATTTATGGTTCCCATGGCAATTATAAGCTGGTACTTTTTCTGCATAGGTAGTATCATTTTGCATTACTATATACAGTCTGGTGCTACCTATTTATAAGAAGACTTATTTCTGTGGGAGTCTTAACTTAGAATTTCTTGAATTTTCTGCACAATTTTTAATGATAGAATTCATTTTTCAATGGTGGAAAGTTTTTTGTTTTTGTTGTTTTTCAAAATAAATACCATAGTTACTTGTCTGGTTTTATTGAGATTATTGTGGGTTGTTGAGCAATATAATCTTTAAGTACAGAATGATAAAACTACTTGGCAAATCCGAATGTAGAACTACTATAAAACTACTTCCAGCCTACCCTGAAGTAGCCTAGTTACCTGCATTTATATATTATGCATTCTGATAGGCTTAACTTGTTTACTGTACAGCAAAATCTGATATAATTTGTTCTGGGGATAGCAGACAAAAATGACAGGGGAGCATGAGAACTCAGGAAGATTAGTCAAGGAGATTATTGGGTCCAAGAGATCTTGCCATGTCAGACAAAGAATCTGTCCTGGCATACACCTTGAATGAGTACCATGCTCTTTTAAATTCCTAACAGAAAATAATACATTTGATTTTGTTAAAAAACAACAAGGAGTCTGGTGGCACCTTAAAGACTAACAGATTTATTTGGGCATAAGCTTTTGTGGGTAAAAAACCTCACTTCTTCAGATGCAGGTTTTTTTACCCACGAAAGCTTATGCCCAAATAAATCTGTTAGTCTTTAAGGTGCCACTGGACTCCTTGTTTTTGTGGATACAGACTAACACGGCTACCCCCCGATACTCTGATTTTGTTGACACCTGGCTGATGTGTTGCCTAACCTTTTGTCTCTGGGGAACTGGTTTGAGACTCTTCCCCAGACTCAGAACATGTCTTTAGTAATATCCTACAGTAGAATAACTTTAACTTTGCATACAGTGTTGCCACACACATTTTACCAGAACAATAATGATCAGTAAATTATGAATTTTCAGATTATTCCTAACAAGGCATACTTTTGTATGAAATTTATCATAATCTTATAAAAGGATTGAACATAGGGGTGTACAGGCTGTCACACATACTAAGTTTTGAAATCTTTTAAAGCAAAGGAAATTTGATGACCTGATCTCAGTGACATGGATGCAGAAACAGTGCGGCCACATAATGTGGTTAAATGTGGAGGCTGCATCTTATTTACCAACGATTGCCTAACTGGCATACCCACCTCAAACTGGCTGGTAAGGTTGTTCCAGTGTGGGTCTCAACTGGAACCAGTGCCCTCTAAGTCCTCAGCCCAGCCAAGGGACCCTGCTGGACGCCTGAGTCCTGACCCACCTCCTCTCTTCCATGCCAGAAGTAGAGTGGCTGAGATGAGATGAGTCACAAGTTGTGCACGGCAGAGGCATACAAAATTACTATGCAATGTGACTGCCCAGCCCCAAATCCCAAGCAGCTACTGGGTTACTTAAGGCTCTCACACCAGCAGCTGCACTGGAACCTGCCATAGTTGCAGCAGTTGTAATTTAAATCCCAAATCAGACCTTCTGGATGTTGGATGGAAGGTGGAAAAAGTCATTTGGCAATCTGCCATTTTTGCCATATGGGAAAATATGCTTTCAGACCGCAAAACTGGTGAACAGCCTAGTCCCCAGCATCATAGGAAATCCAGCAGACCAGTTTAAGTGTAGGAAAGGTGGAGCTGAAACAGGGAGCAGACAATGGCTACCCTACCCAAGTAGCAAACTGTATCATCCACCAGATGGGAGCCAATCACCTGATCCTGTTCCACCCCCACCCCCCAGTAGCATTGGGCAGGATGCTCCCTAGAATCTGGCCCAGATGACCTCCCCATACCCTATGGCACAAGGAAGTGGGGGAGGGGAGGTGGAGAAGACCAGCCTTCAAACAATGAGGGTGAAGGAATGGTGGGGAACAAAGGGGAGGGGTCACGTGGAGCACTTCTTTAGCTGCTCCCTTTGGAAATCGTTCTCTTCCCCCTGCCACAGTCTCCACTGCTCCTGGCCCCACAAAAGCCCCACCCCCAAATGGGGGTGAGTATTTATAGTAGCATGTAAATCGAACCCAAGTGAATTGGAACTTTTGAGACTTGTCTACTTGTTTATATCTAAGTGAAGCAGCAGCATAAGAATACTTTAAAAATCTCTAGTGTAAACATCTGCTGATGGTTTGTGAATGTTGAATATTAATTTTTCTGCTATATTCTGTTGCTGCTGATCTATACCTTATTGCATTTTGTAAGTAATGCTACCAGCAGATTTAAGTCTTAAACTGAACAACATTGAACGCACAACGCCATCTGGAAAACTAGTTTATCAGCTTAAGCAGATGTCTCACAATATTTAGTATCAGAGATGCATCCATAGGGCTATTTGATCATGGCCAATCTGATTTTCTTTCTAAACCTTTATTCAATTTATCTTTGGGTTTGTGTTTTTTGTCTACAGTCCATTAACTCAAAACTCTAATCCCAAATATAAAATAAGTCATCTGTCCCAAAAATTATTCACTGGATACTTCTAGTAATCAGCAACAACTTAAAGAAACAGTTTCCTCTCTGATCTATGTTGTTTTTAGAGTTTTATAAGACTCATAAGGACTGATCAGGTGAGTATATTTACACAAGATATATGATCCCTCTGTTATTTTTGCATGTGTAAGCATGATATTTGGCCATACACAATACAATTTATGTCATAATGTGACAAATTATGTAACATCACGATGGGGGGTTGTGCGTCTGAACCCATAGTGTGGCCCAATGGCGAGAGTCTGTGGGGCCAGCAATAGGGGAACCTGGGCCCTCCCTGCTCCATTGGGTTCCAACCCAGGACCCTCTGACTGGCAGCTCAGTGAGTAGCTAATAAATAAAAAGCAAGAAGAATGCATCACAAAATTAACTTGCAAGTGTATTTGAATTTTAATCTTCTAGTACACTTCTAGTAAACTCCTCTTTAGCATACTTTGTGAAAGTAGTGAAGTCTTACTAACATGGATCCTTTTTACAGTCTAAGTCAAGTCTTTGAAGGGGGAAAAGACCACTGTTCTGACTCCTTTTTTGGAGAGCCCAATAATGTCTCATTTAATAATATTGGCCAATGAGCTCTAGGTTAATAATATTGGCCAATGAGCTCTAGGTTAGGTTAAAAGCTAACAAAGCGGTGTGTTTGAAGATCCATTGACACCTTTTCCTTTGGATAGTAACGGTTTCCTAAGGGCATGCAGGATAGTCCATTTTACAAGGTACAGTTCTGGAAATCAAACTTGAGTTCTGTTCACTGCTGTGCTGTTGATTACCACGTGACTTTGAACTCTTTCATCCTTCATCTCGAAAGTGGGAACGATAAGCTTATCCAGTAATTTAAAACACTCTGAGATTTATTAAGTATTACTAATTTATGTTGGCATTTGGGAGGCTTCCTTACACAGAACATATTTGGCAAGCAATGTGTCTAACTCTGATGGCCAAAGAGTTAATGAATCTGGCCTAAAATGTTTTCCTTATTCTAACACTAGTTTCATTTCTTTTGTCTGGACCAAACAAAGAGCTTTAGAAAGATCTATCCAGCTTTTTGTGGTGGTTGACACCTCCACATTAGGTCAGACTACATCCAAAAGAATTAAATCAAAACAGTTGTCTATATGTGACTGATATTGTTACAGTTTAGAAGAATTGTCTTCTAAGAATCAAGTTAAACTCTATGCAGACCAGTCTATGGTATTGGCAGCCTCCTTCAGACCATGTCTGTCCCATGATATTTGCAATACTTCCACTGTGAGAATAAATGCTGTTGCATTTTACACTGTAGAAAAGTCTAACTTTGAGTTGGCTTACCATGGGTTCAGAGTTGCCACATGTCCCTCTTTTCCCCTGCAGGATTTGTTTCTTGTCCCACTGAGTGGTTATCATATCCTGACTTCAGTAGAGGTTTTCTGCCTTTTTTAAAAAAGCAAAATGCAATGATGCAGTATGATTTTATTGACTTGAAATGAGAGTAAATA